TTAACACACTCCTGACACCACTGCACCCCAACACAGACCCCGAGGACAGGCACCGGGTGCGGGGGGAGGGGGCACACGAGCGCTGAAGTGGGGGAGGGGGCAGGCGGCTAACAGTGTTTCTACCGACAAAGCACACAGAAGAAGTCACATCGGAAAATATTTTTGAGAAATATTTCATTTGTAAAGCACTCCAGAAACACAGAGGACAAAGCCACGGCCGTCTTACCATGTGTGTGCTGGTGGTCATTATCTGAGGGTGGGAAGGGAAGCAAGCAGCAAAAAGAAAAAAGCAAGAAACAAATAAAACACACCCCAGAAATCCCGCCAACAACCGGAGCTGACCGCTCTTAGAGAACCGTAAACCTTCTCTTTGCAAAGGGAACAGCACGTAAGAACTCGCGAGAAGATACTGCGTTACTCGGGAGTAACCTGCACACTGGAAAAGCAAGGCCTCCCTGGTGTGACTGAGCCGCTGGGCACCGGCTAAGGGTGAAACGCGAGCTACAGAAGCCGCTTTAAGGCTTTAAGGAAACCCTGCGAGGGCCTGGTCTTAGAGCGGGCCGGGGCTCCCCGGGGCTCGGGGCGACACGGAGGGAGCGTGGGCACCTCGCCGCTCCGTGGAACCCGACAGACACCGGACACACGCTCTAGCCCTCAGGGACCCTCAGCCTGCTCTGCGCTGGCGCTGTGACGGGTGATGGCACGGGGTCAGCGCGCGCTCTTAAGCAGCTAAATCAACAAGACCACGCTGGTACTGACCTGGCCATTGCTGGTCACCGTTGTATTTTCAAACATGAAATAAGCACCAAAGAAAAATACCAGGGCGTCAAAGACTCCCAAGAACGTCCAGTAAATGAACACCCGCCAGCGGAGCAGTGCGTTCTTGGCGATGTCTCTGCAAGGGAAAGAGGGGACGTGGTGGGGACCTTGGGCCGGGGCTCCGGGGCCACCGCGCTCTGCAGGGCAGGCGAGGTCAGCATTCAGTATGCGTTGCCCGGCAGGGGAAGCTGCTGGGGTTTAGGACACGGCACACTGCCCACGCGGACCTTCCACCGGCCTGCCAGCCTCTGTCCTCACTCACATGTGACACCTGACGTCCCCGGGGTCACCCCTACTTCTGAGAGCGACGCAGAGCGACGGGCGCACGCTGACATTCAGCAGCTGCCTGAAGCCTCCAGCCTGTGACTGCGCCCGTTACGGCTGCAGACGCCTCTCAGCTCTGTGAGGGCATGTGAACACCCACAGTCTCCCCCTGCGTGTACATCTAACATGGCTGGGCTCTCTGCAGTCTCCCCCTGTGTGCACATCTAACACGGCCGGGCTCTCTGCAGTCTCCCCCTCATGCACATCTAACACAGCCGGGCTCTCTGCAGTCTCCCCCTGCACGCACATCTAACACGGCCGGGCTCTCTGCAGTCTCCCCCTGCGTGCACTTCTGACACAGCCAGGCTCTCTGCAGTCTCCCCCTGCGTGCACATCTAACACGGCTGGGCTCTCTGCAGTCTCCTCCTGCACGCACATCTAACACGGCTGGGCTCTCTGCAGTCTCCCCCTCATGCACATCTAACACAGCCGGGCTCTCTGCAGTCTCCCCCTGCGTGCACATCTAACACGGCTGGGCTCTCTGCAGTCTCCCCCTGCACGCACATCTAACACGGCCGGGCTCTCTGCAGTCTCCCCTGTGTGCATTTCTGACACAGCCGGGCTCTCTCTGGCATCTGGTCTCTTCCCGTTTGCTCACACACTGCACACTCAGCTCACCCTCTCACTGTCCTCCTGCGTCACATGGGGACTACCACACCTCCAGCCCCAGGGCACAGCGGTGATGAGGGTAGCAGTTACAGAAGTGAGTGTGCAGCCAAGTGCACGTGTGCGTGTGCCCGCACACACACGCATGTCACCCGGAGGACGAGTGAGGCCGGGGCCATCTGAGGGGCAGGGCGGGGGGGACTGAGCCCACTGAGCCTCTCTGTGCTTCTCCCGACAACCACGTATGGATCTAAGGGTATCTGCAAAGCAAGGCTAAGTACAAAGACCACGGAGGACAGGGATGTCCGGTCTGCGGGAGGAGCACCCGGTCAGAGCCGTTCCTTCCTTTTTCTCCTTAAAGAGAACACACTGGGCATTTCAGGGACACGGAAGAACCCTGGCCCCGGGTCCCCAACAGCTGTCAGAGGCACTGAGGTGAGTACACCACACTGCAACCGTGCTGCTTCCACACCGATCCCTGGGGGCTCCCATGCTGCCCACCAGCCTTCACTGGAAGCCGTCAGCCCCGCCCCCGTCCCCACATGCTGGGAGGGTCACGGGGGACAGACCTGTACAGCACTGGAAGCCGTCAGCCCCGCCCCCGTCCCCACACGCTGGGAGGGTCACGGGGGACAGACCTGTACAGCACTGGAAGCCGTCAGCCCCGCCCCCGTCCCCACATGCTGGGAGGGTCACGGGGGACAGACCTGTACAGCACTGGAAGCCGTCAGCCCGCCCCCGTCCCCACGTGCTGGGAGGGTCACGGGGGACAGACCTGTACAGCACTGGAAGCCGTCAGCCACCCCCCCATCCCCACGCGCTGGGAGGGTCACGGGACAGACCTGTACAGCACTGGGTCCCTCTTGAGGGCGTCGGCACTGACGTGCTGCTCCATCAGGCTGTACAGGAGGATGGGAAGCGAGGTGAAGGTGATGTTGTACAGGGTCAGATACGCAGTGTCGTACAGGGTCTGCAGGAGAGAGCACAGGTCAGACACGCGGTCACACAGGGTGTGCAGGAGAGAGCACGGGTCAGATACGCGGTGTCATACAGGGTCTGCAGGAGAGAGCACAGGTCAGACACGCGGTGTCCTACAGGGTCTGCAGCAGAGAGCACGGGTCAGACACGCGGTGTCACACAGGGTGTGCAGGAGAGAGCACGGGTCAGACACGCGGTGTCCTACAGGGTCTGCAGGAGAGAGCACGGGTCAGACACGCGGTGTCACACAGGGTGTGCAGGAGAGAGCAGGGGTCAGACACGCAGTGTCACACAGGGTGTGCAGGAGAGAACATGGGTCAGACACGCGGTGTCACACAGGGTGTGCAGGAGAGAGCACAGGTCAGACACGCGGTGTCCTACAGGGTCTGCAGGAGAGAGCACGGGTCAGACACGCGGTGTCACACAGGGTGTGCAGGAGAGAGCACGGGTCAGACACGCGGTGTCACACAGGGTGTGCAGGAGAGAGCAGGGGTCAGACACGCAGTGTCACACAGGGTGTGCAGGAGAGAACATGGGTCAGACATGCAGTGTCACACAGGGTGTGCAGGAGAGAACACGGGTCAGACATGCGGTGTCACACAGGGTGTGCAGGAGAGCATGGGGTGAGACACGTGGTGTCACCCAGGGTGTGCAGGAGAGCATGGGGTGAGACACGCGGTGTCACACAGGGTGTGCAGGAGAGCATGGGGTGAGACACGTGGTGTCACACAGGGTGTGCAGGAGAGCACGGGTCAGACATGCAGCGTCCTACAGGGTGTGCAGGAGAGCATGGGGTGAGACACGTGGTGTCATACAGGGTGTGCAGGAGAGACCACGGGTCAGACACGCGGTGTCACACAGGGTGTGCAGGAGAGCATGGGGTGAGACACGCGGTGTCACACAGGGTGTGCAGGAGAGAGCACGGGTCAGACACGTGGTGTCACACAAGGTGTGCAGGGGGACAGAGATTCACAGACAACAGCTATCTCTTACATGCTGTTTTGATGTTTTCACTAAAGAATGTGTTTAATTTACAAAGAACCACAGACACACATAAAATGCACAAACGCGTGTATCTACAGCTACGGAAGGACCGGAAGAAATCCGTGCCCCCCACGTAAACCAGAGAGGACTGTGCTCACTGCCTGCAAAGGGCCGGTTCTCGCCTGCCCACCCCACCACTGCAAATTTGAAACCAAAGTGAGAGGGAACTACATTGCTGAAGTATCCGCAGTCTGATCGCCAGCTTCAGGCTTTGTCTCCCGTGGGCCTGGGCCCGCTGACGGCAGTAGGTGACCGTGGTCCTGAGCACACAGGCCCGAGGGTGACAGAGGCGGAGTCTGCCTGGCGGTGGGTGCTGTGCGCCCTCCGTGTCCTGGCTCAGTACTGCCTCCACCTAGCGCCCAGTCCGGCACTGCGGTGGGCCAGACTGCAGTGAGCAGGACACGCGTGGGCGTCCCAGGATCCCTGCAGTGAGGGTCAGAATGCCCACACCGTGTGCTGGGCTTGGGGCGGTCGGCTCTCGCCCACGTCATCCACTGGCCTGCATCCCGAGACTGCTCGGCAGCAAGCACCCTGGCCCCGGGCAGCACCCACAGCGTCCTGGGACGGGGGCAGCGGGGCTGATCGCTGTCCCCGGGAGGGGTCGCCTGCACACCCCTGACGTGGGCCCTGGGCCCCCGCCCACTCACCTGCTGTGAGAAGCCACAGAAGAACTGGTACAGAAACTGCGGGAAGATGAAGCAGACGTTCTGAAAGACAAGGCGCACGGGTGCCAGTGAGAGCCCGGCTCCGCCCAGGACGCGCCCCCCGCCGGGGCGGGGCCCCAAGCCGCCCCGTGTCTGCAGCTGAAACGTGCAGACAGGGCCCCGGCCACTCTAGGGGCCGTGTTAGGGACTCGGAAGGCGAGCGGGGTCAGCCTCCCCAGGCAGGGCTGTTTCAGAGTGAGCGTGCCCCTCCTCGGACCCTGCAAGTGGGCTCTTCCCCGGGGCCCACGCTGACTTCCGCGGTGCTGAGAAGTGGCAGAGGATTCCTCGCCCGCAGTCCCTTTAGCGCCAGATAAGGGCCGCGCCGACAGACGCGCCGGCGGCGGATGGGGCAGGCCCGCACCTTGTAGAAGAAGTACTGCACGAGCTCGGCTATCCGGATGTAGTAGAAGTGCCCGTGCACCAGCAGCATCTTCTTCAGGTGCTTGAACTTGGGGATTGCATAGTCGCTGTTCCTCGCCGCCTGGCGGCCTTCCTTCCCGATGACACCTGGAACGGGTCAGTGTGCTGAGCGGCCCACGGGAGCAGGCAGTGAGAGGCGCCACGAGAGGCACGGCCAGGGCAGGAGACACCCCTATCATGAACACCCCGTCCCCAGGACAGGCACGGGCACAGGCCCAGGTGTCGGGTCCTCACCCACGCCCATGTGGCAGGCCCACACCCACACGGCAGGTCCTCACCCACCTGCACGTGGCAGCTCCACACCCATGCCCACACCATATGGAGGTGCCCACACCACGTGGAGGGTTCTCACCTACACGACGTAGGTGTGGGTCCTCACCCACGCCCATGTGGCAGGCCCACACCCACACGGCACGTCCTCACCCACATGCACGTGGCAGGTCCACACCCATGCCCACACCATGTGGAGGACCCATGCCCACGTGGAGGGTTCTCACCTACACGACATAGGTGTGGGTCCTCACCCACGCCCACGTGGCAGGCCCACACCCACACGGCACATCCTCACCCACCTGCACGTGGCAGCTCCACACCCATGCCCACACCATGTGGAGGACCCATGCCCACGTGGAGGGTTCTCACCTACACGACGTAGGTGTGGGTCCTCACCCACGCCCATGTGGCAGGCCCACACCCACACGGCAGGTCCTCACCCACCTGCACGTGGCAGCTCCACACCCATACCCACACCACGTGGAGGACCCATGCCCACGTGGAGGGTTCTCACCTACACAATGTAGGTATGGGTCCTCACCCACGCCCATGTGGCAGGCCCACACCCACACGGCATGTCCTCACCCACATGCACGTGGCAGGTCCACACCCATGCCCACACCATGTGGAGGACCCATGCCCACGTGGAGGGTTCTCACCTACACGACATAGGTGTGGGTCCTCACCCACGCCCACGTGGCAGGCCACGCCCTCACCCATGCCCATGATGGCCACATGGCAGGGCTCACCTATGCCCACATGGGCCTCCAGGATCATGCTGACATCATTTGCGCCATCGCCAATGGCTAAGGTGATGGGGTGTTCTTTTGAAAATTTGATTAACTTAACAATCTGGAAAAGAAGAGAATGCACACTCATCTTCTCGTTCACTTCTGCTCGGGTTCCACTCGTGCGGCAGAACAAAGGTGCGAGTCAGCCCAGAGACACGAAGGCGGTGTCGCCTAGGCTCCCCTCCACACCCACTCTCCTTCCCCACAGGAAAGCAGAGCACAGCGAAGCGCACGTCACAGACGGCGGTTCAACGGCACAGGCTGAAACGGCAGTGGCGCGGTAGCCAGTGTTTTCAAGCCTCCACGTGCCCTTGGGGAACGCACTTTACTTAGCTGACACCAGCGGCACCCGCCCTGCCAGCCTGTCATGTGCACAGGGGAGTCTGCCAGCAGCAGTGCGGCCCCCACGCGTGCATTCACTTAGGGGCCATCCCAGCTACCAGCCTGAGCCCGTGCAGCTGAGGGGGCAAAGCCGGGGGAGCGTGGGCTAGCTCTGTGCCCGGCAGAGACGGGAGTGCACACGGCTCGAACACACTTCTCCACGGTGAGCCCGGAGCTGCAAATAAGGACCGGGGCACACACGGCTGAAAACCACACAAGCAGTGGGGATGGAACGATCTTCCCTCCAAACGGGACACTCGCGGGCTCTCGAGTGTCAGCTCGTCTCGCACTCTGGGAGGTGCCGGTGTTGTGCCCTCGGTGACGGTGACAAATCAGCACACCTGTACCGCTGCTGGTCACCTCCTTGCGCCTGGCTCTCGAACTTGCACGGGGCGGATTTCACAACTACTGGGGCACTTGGCACGCTCGTTTTCACTCATGCACAGTGAAGGTAAAAGGGCTGCCAGCTGAACAGGGAGGGATTTCTCTAGGGTCACAGACACCAGAAAGAGATCCGTGTTTACGTGTACTTGTATACGACGCTGCTCAACTACTGAAAACCCTCCCATGTGCTTTCCACAAGCACACAGTGTGACGTGTGGAGGGGACGGGGAGAGGGACACGTGTGGGGCATGTGGAGGGAACGGGGCTGAGGGACACGTGTGGGCGTGTGGGGGCACGGGGAGAGGGACACGTGTGAAGAGGACGGGGCTGAGGGACATGGTGTGGGGCGTGTGGGGGGACGGGGAGAGGGGCTCTGGGGCCTATGTATAACCGTGTGCGTCCATCAGGGCCAGTACGCCTGCCTGCGGAATGAGGGGGGAAGCCCGGCCAGACGCTGGGCAGAGGCTGAACGCCGGCCGTGGCGACGGTGGCCAGAGCTGCCCCTCACCCATCCCCTGCCATCTTGAGCTTCACCTTTGGAGGCCAGTCAGCCACCCACACTGGCCCCTAGTCCTGGCCTGGGGGCCGCCTGCCGACCACGCAGGCGGCCACGGGGCGAGCTGCGTCTCCAAGCCCTCGTTGGGCCGAGGGCGGGGCCGGACCCACCTGCGCCTTCTGCAGGGGCGCCATGCGGCAGCACAGCACGGCGCTGCAGTTGCGGCAGATCTCCAGGAAGAGCTCCCGGTAGTTGCCGGAGCTGCCCTCCTCCCGAGGTTTCAGCACCAGGGAGAGCGCCGCGCCGTCGATGATCAGCCCGTAGTCCTGCCCGTCCGTGGAAAGGCTGTGGAGGACACGGCGGGGGGGGGGGGGGGGGGGGTGGGGCTCAGTCACTGCGCCTGCAGGTTCCAGCGGGCCGCACAGTGCTCGTGCTAAGACCCACAGAACCGAGACACCCCGCTTGTCCACACCGTCTTCAGTGTGGAGGGAACGCGGGCTCTGTTTTGGCGCTGTGCTGTGGTTCCCCACACACCTCCTCCTTGGTTTAGGCAAAGCAGATGCACACTTCCCTTCTCGACAACACGCTGAGGATCTGTCCGCCCGTGGGAGGAGGGCGGCTTTGTCCTCCAGTGCCGGAACGCACTGCCAACGCCGGCCTTGCTGTACAGCCGAGATCTGGAGCTCCCGAGCTGGCGAGAGCGGGGCCATCCTCTCCCCTCGGCAGAGGGTCCCAGCTCAAGGAGCCTCTCTGACCAGCGCAGGGAATTCTGCACACCAGGGGAGGGGCGCCATCTCTGTGCTGTTACGAGTAAGTCAGAATTTGCATACGCCCACAGAGCTGCTTCTGCTTTGCCTACATCAGTGCAACTCTGGAACGATTAAACCTTCCATCTCAGATAACATGCCCGGCACCCCCAAGGCTGGCAGGCAGCCGAAACATCCCAGTAAGCTGCGAGCGTTCCTGGAGAGACACGGGGTCCAGGCCACGCACGGCTCTGCCTTCAGACACAGCCCTGCAGTATCAAAGCCTCCCGGCTCCCCCCACACAGCCCCAAGTCTTAGAGGCTCGAAACATCTCATCAGCCGATCGATCCATCAATCCCGTCTTTGAACGCTCGGGACAGCAGCCTGAGACCGAGCGCGCACGGCTGCTGAGGACGCGCTGTGGGGCGCAGCCGGGCTCCAGGACACGCAGCGCGCCTACCCGGAGAAGGGGTCCCTGGTGAGGCTGCCGCTGTGGCGCAGGACCGTCTTGCTCAGCTCGAACAGCACGTCGTGCAGGCTCTGCTCCTCCAGCCTCTTGGTGGTCAGCTCCAGCAGCTGCGTGCTCCTGCGGAACAGCCTGCAGGCGTAGCAGGTGGCCGCGGCCGTCTCCATCTTGTCTCCCGTGAGCACCCACACTTTGATCCCCGCCTTCTGCAGGGCCTCGATGGTGTCGGCCGCTTTCTCCTGGAGCCTGGAAAGGCACAGGCCAAAGGCACACAGGCCACATCGGTGCTGAGCAAGCAGGGCCCGGCATGTGCGAAGCCAGCAGGAAAAAGGCCGCGAGTCGGAGACACCTAGGCAGAGCGCCCATCCCGGCTCACGCCACAGACGCCCACAGGGCCAAGGTCAAAGCCAGGAACGTGGCCCAGGCCCCCCGGGCGGTGGCAGGGACCCAGCCACTTGAGCCGCCTCCTGCTACCTCCCAGGGTGTGCACTTGCAGGAAGCTGCCGTCAGGCCTTGAGCCCAGCCCCTCTGATACGGGACGACCAGGAAAGACGTTAGCCCCTCAAAGAGAAAACAGGAAAACAAGCGGAAAAGCACGCTGTTGCTGGTCAGGTCCTCCCGGAGCACCACGTGTCATCAGGAAACGCGTGGCAGCACCGAGAGTTAGGTGAGGTGGCTGTGCCGACTCCTCTCTGGCCGTTTCCTGTGGGGCTGGGACCTGGTCCTGGGGGAGGCCTTATGCAGCTGACAGCTCCTGGGCAGGGAGAGCTGGCATCTGGGAGCGAGGTGACCCCTGGCATGTGCTGGCTTTGCTCTGGGTCCTAATTCTGCATTTAGCAAACTGGTGTCTGGGGACCTGTGAGCTCCATGGAGCCCCTGAACCCACGCCCCACTGATGGGCCTGGAGCTCACCATGCATCAGGCGCCGGGGACGCATTTCACGTGCAACCCCCAGCTACACGGCAGCCTTGTGTGGCTCCGGACTTTGTTACCACCCATCTCCCAGGCGGGGAAACCACAGCGGGCAGAGGTGAGGGACGTGTCTGAGGACAGCGCCTCCCCACGCCGTCAGGCTGCGTGGCTGGCTGTGGAGGGTCTGGGTCGCCGTCTCTGTGGCCTGCTGCGTTTTCCAGGCCTGCAAAGCCGCCTGTGCGACGTCTCCACGAGGTTCCGAGCAGGACTGGACTTGGGGTCAGACTGGACCCAGTCACGTTCTGGCAGGAACCTCCTGAGCCCGCAGTCATGGTTTTCCTGACTCCCCAGGTGTTTAGACAGGAAACTGGGCCCAGACAGGTTTCAAGCGTGCTGGCTGCCGACTTTAAAATGACTCGTCACCCAGCTCATGGAGGCAAAGCCCTCGTCCCCACGCCTCCCAGGGACAGCTCTCTTTCCTCCACGTGCCAAGTGCAGCCAGCGCAGCCTGCTGCCTCCAGCCTGGAGCTCCCCCTCTGTGCTCAGTGCCCGCTGCTGCCCGGGCAGCACCGTCTCCATGGGAGCAGGCGCCAAGGTGTTTCGCAGAGCCAGCGCCAGCCTGGGCTCCTGCGGCCTGCCCTGTGTTCAGGCCACTCCTGTTCGTGTTCTGACGGACACAGTGAGGGAGTGGGACTAAAATCCAATGAAGAGGGGCCGGCACTATGGTGCAGTGGGCTCAGCCTCCTCCTGTGGCACTGCCGATTCCTGTCCTGGCTGCTCCTCTTCCGATCCAGCTCTCTGTTAATGACCTGGGAAACCGGCAGAGGATGGCCCAAGTGCGTGGGCCCCTGCACCTGCGTGGGAGACCTGGAAGCAGCTGCTGGCTCCCTTGGCTCCTGGCTTCGGCTTGGCCCAGCTCCAGCTGTTCGGCTGTCTGCAGAGTGAAGCAGTGGATGGAGGGCCTTTCTGCTTCTCCCTTTCTCTATCTGTAACGCTGCCTCTCACATAAACAAATCAATCTTTTAAAAAACCGAATGAAGAGGGTCAGGAGCCATGGCACAGCAGGTTAAGCTGCCTCTGGCGTTAGTCCCACATGGGTTTTGGTTCGAGTACCTGCCTCTCCACTTCAGGTCCAGTTCCCTGCCAATGCTCTGGGAAAGCAGCAGAAATGCCTGGGTCTGGGACCCACGCGGGAGACCTGGATGAGCCCCAGGCTCCTGCGTTTGGCCTGGCCCAGCCCTCCCTGTTGCGGCCATCTGGGGAGTGAGTCAGCAGATGGAAGCTCTCTCTCTCTTGCTCCCCTCCCCCGACAACTCTGCCTTTCAAATCAATCAATCTTTTTTTTTTTTTTTTTTTTTTTAATGAACAAATGCAATCTCCCTGGGCTGCCCAATGTTCTGCTGAGATGGAGGTTCAGGAAGGCAAGGACTGAGTTTGTCATAAAAACGGGTTGTGACAGCTGGCAAACGTCACGGCTGCCTTCACTCCCGGGAGACGACCGCTAGCCGAGCCCTGGGGCCTGTCTCACTCTCACAGACCAGAGCGCTTCCCCGCTCCTCTGCTCCTTCAGGGTCCAGCGTGGTCCACGCCCTGCCAATGGACAGGCACTGCCTGCAGGGCTGAGCCGGAAGCAATGTGCAG